ATTATATTATAATAATTATTATTCAGTTTAACCTATTTAGGTGGAACAGATAACATGGTGATGGACCAGTCCTTTTTGTATAATAACTCCTAGCTGAATGATTTTTTGAAATTCATACGTAAAAGGATTTATGCATATAATTGATATACAGAATATCCCATATTTACTGGTTCCTTTCATTGTCTTTGCTGGGTTGATTCCATAGTGAAAACTTTTTTTCCCTTACAAGAATCTTGTGATTATTTTAACAGAATACACCTGTCCAGAGAAACAGGCTCATTTGTCATAATTAATCTGCGTCAATAAGCCCGCTGGATTGTCTCATGAAAGAGATTGTTTTTATTAACACACAAAACAAATAAACACCCAGCAACATGTAGCCATTTTTCAGAACCTAAAATGAGAAAACACCTTTAGTATGAATAGACTGTAGTGAAACAATGTTTATCCTCTGTCCATATTGACAGATAATTAGGTCATTAAAATCTAGAGATGCAGTTATGTTGGTTATAAGATCTTTCTGTGACTGATGAAGATAGGCCCGGATTACCCAAGAGGGAAAAAATCAGCAACTTTTCTGAGTGCTCCTTCATGAACCCACACTGGTGTGTACATCACGTGCCCTCGGGTGTAGGTAAGGGCTGTGGCAAGGGGCCAGATCATTACCCCAGTGCTGCTCCTGGGTGCATCTACTGCCTCCATGCCAGAAGACCAGCAGGGCCTCGGGGTTTGGCTGAGAACATTCATTGAGATGTGTGTAAATTGATGCTGTTTACAAAGAGTCACATGCTTTAAAAGAATATGGCTCTCTGCTTCCCAAACAGTATGGTATCTTTATTATAAAAATCACCTAACTGAAAAGGCTTCTTTTCAGTTACTTGTTGTTGTTGTTGTTTGTGCCATCGAGTTACTTGCGACTCATAGCGACCCTATGTACAACAGCCCTAAACTCTGCTCTGTCCTGTGCCAATTGCACCGTCTCTGACACTCCCATCCCGATTACCCCAGTCACTGAATCAATTCACCTCATAGAGGGTCTTCCCCTCCTGCGCTGTCCCTCCACCCTCCCAAGCATGATGTCCCTCTCCAAGGACCTGTCCCTCCTTGCAACATGTCCAAAGTATGTCAGACGAAGCCTCAGAATCCTTGCCTCCAAGGAGCCACCCGGTTAAATCTGTTTTCCTAGCAGTCCATGGTACCCTCAATACTCTTCTCTAGCACCACAGCTCAAAGGCATCAATTCTCCTTCTATCCTCCTTGGTCATTGTCCAACTCTCTGATGCATAACAAGTGATAGCAAAGACCATGAAAATTACTTCTTACCTTGAAAAAAATTCATATTGATCTTTGCTTATCCATGATGATATAATCTGTGTAATAAAAAGAAAATTTGGGTATTTTTCTCACTAGCACTTTAAAATAGATATTCTTAAAAGTGCTTTACAAATGTTCGTGACATGAGTCCAGAACGAAGGGTGCATAGTGGAGTGGACCTGGGGGGAGGGATTGTAAAATAATGAAAACATTTTCCTTTTACTTTTCAAACAGAAGACTGTACTGGGGCTGGGAGGATTGGGCAGGGAGAAAAGTGCAACAATGAATGAATGAATGAAAATCCGAAGTGTCTGTAAATTTTCATTAAAATTAATAATAATTTAAAAAGGTGCTTCACATTAGTAAAAAGATTACATTTAGGAAATATGGTATATGTACAGTATAATTCTGACTATATGCTTTAAAAACATCATACATAGTGGGAAAATACCATAGAGCATATACAAACTGTTTAAAGTGTCCTTGTGGGAAGTGGAATTAGGTTTTTCTCTTCCCCACACACACCCTGTATTTTTTATAAATGTTTGATGTTGGGTTTAGGTACCGTTGAGTTGGGACTAACTAATAGCTGACCTTCCAGTGGGTTTTCAGAGGCAGTAAACTGCATGGAAGAAAATTGCTTTTCTTTCTCCTGTGGAGCAGCTGGTGGAGTCAAACCATCTGCCTTTGGGTTGGCAGCACAACTTTTTACCTTAAACATTTGATAGTAGGTAGTGATTATCTTTTTGCAAAAATAAAACATACGGAGATTGACTCTCAAGAGATTGAAAGTCTGAAATACATCATCTTCTTACAAAAAGTCTCGACTGTATTGTTCTAAAATGGTAGCCATTAAAAACAATTATTACTGAGGTATTTTTTTACATTGATCAAAAATTCAATTTCTCAATCGTACTAGTCATCTTTCAGGTTCCAGTGGACTAATCTCTAGAATGTTCTTTTTGAAAGTGTTGGTAGTGCATGGATTACTGAACTGTGTCCTAGACACCAAAGATAATGGTTAGACTAGTGTCAGTGACATGGACGGGCCATATTCTTTTCCCCCCATAGATATTTGTCATTACTTCTACCCAATTCCCTCGATAAACCTAATTAGCCTGTGGCCTATTGAGCTCAGAGATTTTTTTTCCACCGTCATTCCTCTAGTTTAGTGATGGAACAAGGATTAGAAAATCGAGCTATCCTCCCAGCCCCTCAAGACTTATTACTACCGTTGAGTCAACTACGAGTCAGTTACAGCTCCTGATGACTCGTCAACAGTTCTTGAACTCATATATCTTTACAGGAAGAAGCTGCCTCATCTTTCCTCCTCAGATGCTGGGGAAGAAAGATGCTGGTCAATTTGCACAACCAGCTCAACTTAGGAACCTGAGTCAGAGCTCTTCTCCCCATGTTACTTTTATTTACCATTCTTCTCCTAAAACGAAATTTTCTCTACCTACATACAAATGTCAATTCAATTAAAAATATTTCCATACTTTTTTTTAGTGTTTTCCTTGTGATAAGCTTCATAATAGACCACGAATATATAAAATCAAGTACAACACATGTCCCTATCCCCAAAAGGCTTAACATGCAAAAGTAGAAGCATAACGTAGCTGGAGTGGTGACTTGAAGGAGAAATGGGCATCTTCGTCCTGGGCGATATGGAAATGCTTTATGAAGATGCACTTGTCTGAGATGGATCTTTGTGCATTCACATTCCCAAACTGTGTCTTCTTCTCCAGTGTTTTCAGTCCTCCTCATCCTCCGGAAGACAAATCACACTCCATCCTTGTAATGCAGTTGTTCTCTGACTATTTATAGTTGTTCTCTCACTATTTTTCATTTCATGTGAATTACTTGGATGTCTCACTTCTCTTAATTTGCACTGGTTTTCTCCTTTTTCAGGCCAGATAAAATACATTTACAATAATTTCAAGTGTACAAATGGAATGAAAATAAAGTACTATATAAGTATTTATTTAGTCAATTCTTTTCTTTTCGAACTACACAAAAATAAGAACTTGGAACAAATAATTGTCTCCAGCCAGTTTCTTGGGGAATGTTTAAGGTCAGATCTGGTTAAGAACTTGGAGTTCAGTTTCCAAACACATCCCGTTTTTGTATTTTAACAGATGCGATGCTTCTGGTGGCTGAGAGATTGGAAGGACCATTCAACATTGAGTCCGTCATGGACCCGATAGACGTCAAGATTTCTGAAGCCATCATGAACATGCAGGAAAACAGCATGCAGGTGTCTGCAAAGGTATTTGCATTAGTCATGTGTCTACTAGTAAGAAAAGTAATGTAGCCGCAAAGTAACTCGATATGTCAGCTGGGATTATAAATTCTAATCCGTTGTCCATGGGCTTTTCCGGCTGCACCATAAATGTGCTACTTCAATAAAAATGCCTAACAAAATGGCATTGAGAAGTGAAGGAATCTTTTCATTCTCAGCTAGTCAATCAGGTAAAAATTATTGGCTGCTAAAGAATCTCAGAGTCCCAAGTATGTGGACTAATCCCTTACATTTGTGAGCAGTTTAGGGGGAATGCTTGTTTCAGGGCCTGGAATGTCCATGCCCCTGTTCTCCACCGGACTCCCTCTGTCTCGTAACCTCTAATTATATCTGCAGCTTTGCACACCAGGCAAATGTTCTATATGTTCAATGTAAATAATTAAACAGCCCATCCGACTTCCTTTCAAGATTATGGAGCAGCCTTCATTAATGACTCTTCAGGGGGAAAGGCTCCTTAGCATGAAGCCAATCACACGTTTTAAAAAAGAAAGAAAAGTAGTGCATTTTCATAAATCATATGAGATGCAGCTCCTGGGTTTGCAGCTGCAGATTCCAGGTGCAGTTTTTATTTGTCTCTGCCTGGCTGAAGACAAACAGGACCTGCCGTGAGCAGAACTGACAAGCTTGCAGTGGGTCTCCACCCTAGTCCTGCATCGGGCAGATGAAGGCACCATGGCCTTTTGTTCTTCCAGCTTCTCTGTGAGGAAACAGTGACCCTATAGTATTTGCCCTGTTTATCGAGTGACTGAGTGATTGCATTTTCAATGAAAGGCATCTGAACACCCTAAAATGCAATGTCAAGCACACAGTGACATGCTGAGCTTTCCTTTATTTTAAAATCTCTTTGTTGACAATCTTTACAAATCTCATCAAGGTGGAAGGGAAGGGGCAGTAAGCAGAAGTATCATAGCAGAAAGACGCTGTGGAGCCTTACAAGGTGGCCTTGGCAGTGTAGGAATCAAAGTAGATTTGAACTTCTGGGGAGGTGAATGGGAGAGAAGGAGATATCTTGGCTACAGAGTCATGCCGCAGCATAAAACTTCACAAGTGAGTGGCTTTAAAAATAGAATTAAGATCAAGAAACAGCAAAGTCTAAATCCAGGATGTGTCTCAGCACTGGGTAAAGAAGGGGCTTGCTGGTCAGTTTCAGCTTCTCTCACTCGCTCACTCATTGCCGTGGAGTCAGAAGGACTCATAGCTGGCCCTTCATTGAGTTTCTGAGGCTGTAAATGTCACAGGAAGGGAATGCCCATCTTTTTTCCTCAGAGCCACTGGTAGATTCGAACCACCAACAGACACATCTTCAGGTTAACAAAGGATCTGAAAACATCTCTAGTTTTTATCCCTAACCTTTTAGTTAACCTTTGGCCTCTAACCTTTGGTAACAACCTTTGAGTCGTCAACCCAACAGATCGGAAAGTGTCTGTATAAACAGATATGAGGTGGACTGGAGCACGGCTTTCTCGGTCCAGCTCTTTTCAGTATTCTCTGTGCACATATTCAAGTCAAGAAGGAGTACTTCTCAGGAGGCCGGGTGGACTCTGGATTATCAGAACGTGATGGACATATCTTTATGAAATGTGCACTTTTTTTTAGAGGCAGATGGAAGAAATATCAAAATCAAGAGTAGCAATATTACTGGACGTGTCACTGCGTACTCTGACATGAGGCGACACAGTAGGAAAAGTCATACAGCAGGACAAAACATACCAAATGAGCTCCCAACTAATGAAGAGGAAGTATGCGTCTGGCTTCCATGGCCTCACGGAAGGAAGCTGGCAGGGTCTCAGGAACCTGGAGAGAAGGGCCCCTCGGCTCTCAGCAGGCCAGCAGTCTGGTCTGGAAGGAGCAGCCGTGCCAAACCCAAGCCCGTTGCCGCTGCTGCGTTAACTGTGACTCCCAGCAGCACTAAGAGTTCAGCAGTCCCCTGGGATAGCACTGGCCCACGGAGTTCCCAAGGCTGCAGCTTGTAAGGAAGCCCCCTGTCCTGTCTTTCTCCTGCAAAGCAGTCAGCACCACCTTTTGGTGGTGGCCTTCACTGGGAGCTGAGTTGTTGACCCAAAGGCCACACCTTTCTAGTGGTTCGAATCCCTGGCAGCTCGTCAAAGGCCTCCTTCTGTGTGATTTACAGCCCCAGACGTTACTGGAGAGGTAGCGAGGAGATGAGTCTGGTTCATAATCAAGTGCCCAACCACTGCACCACCTGGGCTCTACAAGGATCCAAACCAGACTTTTTAAATTTTTTTTTATTTTTTCTTTCTCTTTTTCTTTTTTTATTAATGATTTTAATGCAACATGTATATTTTTTACAGCGTATTCTTTCCATTTAATTTTCTCCCATTCATTGTTGCACAATTTTTCCTCCCTGCCCACCCTTCCCCATAGTTCATTTTTCTCTTTGAAAAAAATTTTTTTCCTTATTATAAAAGCTGCCCCCCAAGTCCACACAGTCCACTTTACTATGCATTTCTCTTTCTCTAATCCTGTCATTTGTTCAATAGTTGGAAACTCCACAAATTTAGTAGGAGGTGCCATGAGGTTGCTGTTCTGAAAAGAGGCTTTATTTCACCCAAGAAGTGGACCTTTCTTTAAGTTTCTATTTTATTTTTTTTTTGTCACTTTTTATATAAGCCACAGCCATGAACTTGAATATAAACTCTGCATCCTGGCTCAAGACTGGGTGATTGGCTTTTTCCCTTGTCAGAGGACCCTGAGTCATTGCTCGTGAAAGTCTCATCAAAGGTGACCTCTTGGTTTCCAGACTCAGGCTGGAGTATCTGCATAGCCAGAAACGTAGTTAGCCTTTCACATGCTTCAGGGGAGCCCAGAAGCTACTTCCTAATTGGGGGCCAGACATCCTGAGAGTTGTAGAGCTAAGAAATGAAATGACTTTCACTCCGGGATATGATTGGCAACCTCTCCTTGGAAAAGCGTTTATCTTGTTAAAGCCGTGAAAGCTGATGGAAGTCATTCCCGGAGCCTCTTTCAGAAAAGCAACAGTGTTAATAGCCGCCAACTGATATTTGTTGAGTGCTTGCTGCCACGCCAGCTTTACATGGGTTTTATTAAGTAGCATTTGTCAGGGTCTTTGCGATGGGATAGCGTTTTGCTGATAAGGGGAGCAAAGATTAGGACGGTAACTGGTGCAGGTCTCCTGGTGTGGGAAGGATGAAGGGGTTTAAAGCTAATCTCGGCTCAGGGAGGACTCCAAGGCCCACAGAGCCTCTCAGGCCAAGAACTGGGCTGAGCGAATATTTACTTACCTGATCAACCGTGTGTTGCGTTCCTAACCCAAAGGCTGAGCATGTCCAGTGGTTCGAATCCACATGTGGATCTTAAGTAAAAAGATGGGGAGCGCTGGTGGCCTAGTTGTGAAGCTGCACTGAAATCCCAAAGGCATGTGGTTCAAATCCACCAGCTGCTGCACAGGAGAAAGATGGGCCGTCTCCTCTTGTGCAATTGACTGGCTCTGAAAACCCAGTGGGGGGTCAGCTGTGGGTTGGTTCCAGCTCAACAACACACAACAACAATGAGGTAGAAAGATGAGCAGTATTCTTCTAGCAAAGTCACAGCCTCGTAAACTTATGCATCAGAACTGGACAATAAGTGAGTTGAGATCAAGACGTAATAGAAAGTTTGGTTGTCTTCAGTGAAGCCTGTGTGGGAAGCCATGGAAACCGGCTGGCAGCTGGCGTCAGGTCGCCTGTGACTTAATATTACCGGAATCACCAGGGAAAGGACCTCTGTCTAATCCTGTCCTAAATGGGACTCCTGTAGTCCACAGGATTTGCCTGGGCTTATGTGGGATCTCCAGTGGCTTAGTGGTATGGAGCTACGCTGCCAGCCCAGGGGCACAAGTTCACGTCCCCTCGCATCCACCAGCAGCCCCGCAGGAGAAAGATGGGAAGTCTCTTCCTGCATGAGTTACTGTCTCCGATAACCCTGCGGGAACGTCAGCGGCGATTCGGTTCCAACTTAATGGTCCATAGCGTCATCTGTGAGGAGGAAGATAGCCAGGCCTTTCTTTCTATTTTGTCTTTGCCTGAAAGCTCTGCAGCCCCCAGCCTCTGCTAAGACACAAGTGGTGGCTGTGACAGAGCGGCTCAGCCAGGAATCACAGGCAGTTAGTTCTCCAGAGTGGAAGGTGCCCGTTCCGCCTTGGAACCGCGAGGTGGGGCGAAGCCAGGAACACCCAAGCTTCCTCGGATTTCACAGGCATGCCTTTAAAACTAGCCTGGGGTCATTCCCTCTGTGCTGGGTGCTAATTAAATATTTATCTTATCCAGTCTGTTCACATATTGCTTTAGTAATTTGCTGAATTTTAAGAATATAAAGTGTAATTCTTTGTCTGTTTCTCCTGTATCTGAAGGTATAACATGCACATACCACAGTTTCAGATGCAAACCGCTCACCCCTAATGCCCTAATTCTCAGCTAGTCTGTAGAAAGAACAGCTAGCGAATCTTTTGCCATCTAACAGTTGAGATCATGAATTAGTGGCATTAGGGTGGCATCCGGTTCCTAAATAACACGCTTCTGGAAACTGTGAACTTTGATAAATGTCGATAGTCGTGGAAGGGCTTCAGGTCTTTTGGTTATAGAATCACTGAGTTGTGCTCGACTCGAAGGCAGTCAACAACGATGACAGACTAATAAAAAGATCTGGTCTCACCAAGAATATCAATTCTCCAGTCAGATCTGTTCTTAGAGGAATTTTCAGATTCTCTTGTTTGCTCTTTGACTTACAGGTTGAAACAAGTATCATTGAGGTTCCCCTTTGAAAACTCTTATCAGTTCTAAAATTATAATATTTCAGTTATAGCACCACAGGGCTCTAAATATACCCTTTACAAAATATATGTGCATGAGTGTTGGGTTTTTTAATTTTTTTACTTAGGAGATAAACATATTAAAACTTACCTTGTTTCCCTTGTGGACAAAGAATCATCTAGGAGAGTCACAATCCTC